AAAGGTACACAAAATTACACTGAGTAGATTGTAACCAACATAAAAAAATCTTCAAGTACAAAGGCTGGGTCAATGTCCTGGTTTTTAAATAACTAGCCTCCAATTGTTTCAGTCTCACAGGTATGATTCTCCTCCCAAGAGAAGTCATGAGTCTGATGAGAAAGTGTGGATGGAACTACAGGACTCCATGTGTGGCAGAGAGAGAGAGAGAGAGAGAGAGACAGAGAGGGCCCCAGATACAGAACAAAAGCATCTTTGTGAGTGATTGGAACCACATTTTCACCCTCCTCTCTCTCTCTCTCTNNCTGTTTCTGTGTTCCTGCAGAGGACAGAAGGAGCAGCAGCAGCAGCACTGAACAGCTACCATCTCCTGGTAAGTTACACTGAGTCAACAAGAATACAGAGGACAACAAACATATTATCTGTCTCTCTCCTCTCTCTCTCTCCCTCTCTCTCGCTCAATATCCCAGTCACACCAGACCGTTCAAAACCACTGTAACGATCAACGTCAAAAGTTTAGAATAATAGTCAGAGAAGGTCTCAGCAGATACTCTTTGTGTGTGTGTGTGGCTCCAATTTTACTTCTCTGTCAAGCCTACACACACACACAAATACACACACACAAATACACACACACACACACACACTGTACTTACATACTCTCTCTCTCTCTCAATCTCTACATTTCTTCTTCGTGCCCCTCCCACCATGCCTGTCTGCTGCCTCTCATGCAGTCTGGTCAGAAGTCCTAGAGCAGTGGAGCAGCTCTCAGCTGAGTCCTCCAGCGCTGGCAAGCTAGACCAGGCAACCTGCTCTTTCTCTGCTGGATCTCAGTGGACTGGAAAGCCTCTAAAGCCTTAGAGGCCTAAGCCAAACACAGAACAGGTCTACGTGCTGTGAGAAAGGTAGAATTGCTTTCAGCATAGCAAAGCATGGCATGATTGCCTTTGTGAGGACAACTTGCCCTTGGTACAGTATGTAGCAGAACTTATAACTTCCCTTTATGCATTTTATGCGGTGGTACTTCAATTGGACCTTTCAGCTATAGAGTTGTGACTTATTTTCTGTAAAACACTCATCTATAGTAAGATAAATGTTAGTCCTATATTGTGATACAGGATGCCATTCGTATGATATTTGCAATATATATATATATGTTTTCTTATATAATGTTGGTCCACTTTTCCTAACACAGTATAAAATCATTGTTTCGTTAGTCCATTTTATGAAAAGAGTGATATTGATTTTAAGTGTACAAGGTAAAATATTGTAGCAAGAACTCATGGTCATAATGCATGTTAAAATACATAATATTTCATATTTACTTAAAGCAATAGTTCAACATTTTGGGAAATATGTTTTTTAGCTTTTTTGCTGAGAGTTAGATGAGCAGATAAATACCACTGTCTCGCAATTACATAACTTTGGCACCAGTTAGCTTAGTTTAGCATAAAGACTACAAATGGGAAAACAGCTAGTCTTGCTTGGTCAGAATGTAACAGATTAAACAAATGAGATATAACAGGTTTTTAATGTGCTGGTAGCAAAAAATTTTTACCTTTTGACAGAGCCAACAATTTTATATTTGGCATGACCAGCACCTCTAAAGCTCTTTTAAAAACCTGTTATGTCTCATTTGTTTATTCTGTTACATTTTGACAGAGCCTGGCTAGCTGTTTCCCCCTGTTTCTAGTCTTTATGCTAAGCTAAGATAACTGACTGCTGCCTCCAGAGCTACATAATTATTAGACAGTGATATCAATCTTCTCATCTAACTCTCGGCAAGAAAGCGATTTCCTAAATGTCGAACTATTCCTTTAAAGGACAGTTATTCTTGTTCCTCTGCATACAATAAAATACTTATGTGTGTGTGTTTCAATGTGCACCAACTGGAGCTCCTGTTCCATAATTGGATGCTGATTTGATAGAACTGTTGGAGGTGAGGAATGTGGAAGGACGCTGTTACTCGTCTGCTTCGTGCACTAGACCCTGGATGGACCAAATAGTCTCTGTTCACCTCCACAAGAAGCTGCCACTTAGAACCAGGGCAAAAGGAAGCAGCAAGCCTACAATGTGTGTAGCACCGTCCACCAACTCTGTGACAAATGTGTTTAAAAATCATTAAATTAGAATTAAATAATGTTTGATTAAATTACCATTAGGTACATGTTAATCATTTAAATAATTATGTAAATACCAAGTAAGTAATAGAAATTGAAGCTATAGAGCTGTAGAGAGCCTTGTGGGTGCGGTGAATGGTGAAGTGGAGTGTGAGTCATGAACGGAAGTAAGAGGATAGACAGGATAAGCTTTTTAGGAAGCTGATGAAAAGAAAATGTCTCCACTCTCATTGTTCAGTGCTGGAATAGGTGGGAGGACTGAATCTTGTACAAACACACAAGACTTTAATGTAGCCACAATGTAATGTCAACTATCTTCGGGGGTTTTCGAAGCATGCATTTGGTTTATTTATGTGGGTCTTCTGTTTTTATTACACCCTTATTTTACTGTATCATTGGCTGATATGATGATAGATAAAAGACGAGAATTTCCTCATTAACACATTGTGATCCTGTGAATTTGTCGAAATGAAGGTGAATTTTCATTTGATAGAATTTGGGAGTGCTTTTGTCCCACCCTGTTAAAAATCCCCTGCAGTTGATGACAAACTGGTAAGTTATGCATGTAAATCAGCAGGGAGCAGCAACTATTTGAAATGTGCTGATATGAATTAGCTCAAAGAGGCTTTGAAATGCTGCTATTAGTTGTTACGTCCTTTCAGTGGTATGTTATGTTAAAATCCTCCATGGGTGACATTTATACTGGGATAGCCTCTCTAAATCTTAATTATATATCTTTAAGAATTATGTAAAAATGGGTCAGGTCTACTGAGCTGTTAGTACCCATTTGTAAGCAAAACACAGTATGTCCGGATTTCTTTCACAAACCAAAAACCTACAGATAAAAAAAAAAATCCTGCTTGAACTAGATCTCTGTAACTCTATCATTGCCCACACAAGCTCTGACCCTTGTGCCCAGACAGACGCTGAGCCCCCACAGAGCACAAATCCTACAAATACTTCAGTGTCAAAGCCTGACTGTTTTGAGATGAGTGATTGTACACACAAATTGAATAGGAGGTTATCAAGTTGTTAGTAAAAATGAAGCCTGTCTCAAGTAGAAGATTTGCTGCTGTGAATTACCTCTCGCCCCTGCCCCGCCTTCAGACAATCAATCACAGGAAACACTCTCATCAGTAACAACCTCCAGGTGTCAACATGGTACGAGCTTGTCTCTCATATGCTGTGGTTTTCTGCGTTGTGTGCCACCCAAGAACATTTCCTATATTTTGGTCATTTGGCTTATTCCACCCACCTTATTGTTTATTGCAATATTAAGTAAAAAAAAAAAAAAAGAGGTAAAAAAGTAAAAATTATTATCAATAATATTTTCAACAAAGATATAAATTGTGGTTTTATCTGTCAAAAAGTTATTGAAGAAACTAAGAAAAAAAAGGTTTTGATAGATTCACCTGAAGGATCATTACAGTTATATTTCTGTCATTTAATGTATCTAATCAAAGTAAAATACCCTACATAACATAGAATGTTTTTATATGTGATATGTCATTTGATTTGATATTTGGAATAGTCTGTACTTATCTTTTTTTTTTTTATCGTTGTGCTGAGTAACCAGTGGTATCAAAGGTCTTAAAACACGAATATCAAGTCATTTGACACCCACACTTACTGGCATTATTTTTTTCTATATATCTAGCAGCTGTCATTTCATGGAAAACTCAGAACATCATTTTGAAAAGAGCACAAACCGGATGATGATGTTAATGAGTTAAGACTGTCAAAGGCCAATATATTTACCATGTGGGGCTAACAGGATTGACAGCTATTAAGAGTTTCACAGATATATGTTTCCCCACATGAAGCTCACAGTCATTCCTCCTGCACTTCCATATGTATATATATGTATAGTATACATATGCATTTACAGCAGGCCTTTATGTTATGATCTCGCATCCCTAGTTAATTTGTATTTAGCTAAACATAATTTGTTTGTGAAGTGCATTATCTACTAGATGTCAGATGAGTCAGACACTCAAAGACACATGTTGTTGTCTGATGCATGCCAAGTTTGGTTTTAATACCTCAGCTTTTGACATGAAAGTAATTATTTTTTAAATTTAAAGAGATAACCAGCTGATGTCGATGTCATATGGGTATACGGTGGGAGTGTGCTTTGAGAAGTTTCTTGTAATTACTTTTGAGTCCACCATTACTATGACGAAGATAAATCATGAGTCATCACTGACTAAATGTCCTAGTTTGCTCTCGACATCTTAAAGGGACCTTGTGCGCACCAGAATGAAGAAACAAAGAAAATTCCCAAAGTGAATTACAGCAACATGTTAAACAGTGAGCCTGCAACCGAACAACAAAGGGGATCTGACTTGGCATCTTATCAAACAAAAAGTTTGAAGAAGGATTTTTTTCTAAGTTACCATACACTATAATTTCAAATGCTCCAACTAACATGTATGTTTTCTCTCCTCTTTTTAAAGTTTTAATAAAAAAAGCAGAAAAAAGCAGGCAATAAACCATCTAATCCTGCACACACCAACACTATTGTTTTTGTATAATAAATGAAATATAGCAGCAGTATGTTATAGGAACATCATGTATATAAAATTACATTACCATAGCTAAAATAGTAACTGAGCACCACAGATATTCTGCATTTAAGTGATTCTGAGTGACTGTATACCTGCATTTTTGCTTTTGTACATAAAAGGTTATATTCACAAACTGTTGCTCTATTATTATTGACAAAACATATGGTTCCTGGGCTCATAAATCCTGATGAAAGCTACCCTGTGTTAGTGCTGTGTCTGGTTCGGGTTAAGGGGTAATTATATGACAGTATAGTTCAGCCCAACTAGTTTCTAGCCTGGAGGAAGCACAATCACTGCTGACTGTAGTTTCCTGTCCAATAGCCGCAGCACTGAAGTCTGAGGCAAGTGGGAGTAAAGACAGAGGAGAGTCCGAGTGCATAGCAGGACGGATACTGCTCGTTTTAAGAGTTTCAACAAGTTTGGGACGGTGCTGTGCTTGGACTTTTGTTTGCAGAAACGCAATAGAAGGTGAGAAAACCTGCAGCGCAGACAAAGCGAGCTGTCTGCAGAGACACACAAACTTCCCAACATCTGGTGTAGTGCTGGAGGACGGGGCGAGCCGGAGAGAGAAACTTTTAGAGGCGGAGAGAAAAAAATATCCTTGCTGGAGAAAAATGCATTGAATTTGGGAGTTTGGGACACCTACATGAGTCGAAAAGAGATTTGGTGGTCGTATAAAGTGAGAAGAGTGGAGGGAAAGAGGACGGTAAAGGTCTTGGAGGGCGAGAAGTCCACCTGGAGCGGCCAGAGAATGAATTAGCCAAAGGTTTGGCTGCACCGTGTCCCAGCCAGAGAGAAGGTGAGAAGTTGTTTTCCTGTGCTGTTGTTGTTGTAAACCAAACGAGTTATTGTGCAGTACATATATACCTAGACAGAAAAAGGATCCCCACACTGAGGCTTAGCTCGGTCTGAGCGTGCAGGGACTCGTTTTGGGAAAGCAGGGCGCAGACATGCAATAAAGGTAAACAGAATACGCCCGTTATTAGCTAACAGTAACATTTAGTAATAATACTCTAAATTTCAGCGTAAATCTTCTTGGAATGACAGACTTTACTATTTAAAAACCGAGGTAAAAGTGCTTATTTAAGCTGGAAGTTTGGCACAGTTTGTTAGTCTGAGGTGCGTCTTTTTCCTTTCCCGAAACTTCTAAAACCTTTTATTACTGTTTCAAAAGTATAAAACTGAGCCCCTTGTAGTTAATCAAAGGTAAATTAAACTGTGTTAACCGAACATAAACTCGGTAAACTTCGCATCATCAAGCGCTTTCACAAAAACTATAGCTATAGGTTGTCAAAACTTTTGGGGGGCAGCGAGTGCGGAGCAAAACCACGGGAGCGCGCAAACAGCTGTCCAGCTGAGCTGCTTTGGCAGGGTAGGCGCGCGCCAAACACACGTTGGCACGTGACACGTGCAGAGATAACGTCCAGTCTTAATAATGAGTTATTAGGTTATTAATGAGTGGCTGCTCGAATCCTCTCTAAACCTTTAGATAAAACACAGTGACCTGAAGTGTGAAGGTAAAAACTGTGGGACATTTATATGTCATTTAGAAAATATTTATTAAAAATAGGCTGTAGTCTTGCGATAACAATAGATTAAAGGTACCTGAGCGGAGTGTTTCTGGGTGCCGGGTCTCACTGATTATTGTATAAAAACACAATTTTATCATTTGTACAAAAGCAGATTTGGTTGAAACTAGATCATATTTTATGGAGAGAATAGTGTCTGATTTCTCCTCTGATGTCCTCTGGCTGCTCTGCTGCTGTAGCTGCTGTTAGCGTGCAACCGAACGGGGCTCAGTAGCCTCCCAGTGAACACAGCTGCCGGATGGACAGAGGCCAGTTTGACGACAGCGGTACCGAAGTGATTTACACTTTTCCAGATGAACAAACGCAACAGTAATGTTAGAGGCTGTTAGCTAGTTAGCTTGTGCAACTAATGTTAGCTGACTTAGCAGGAGCTAAACCCAGAAAAAAATCACCTCAGTACTTTATTCCCTGTCATCACACTGTCCATTGGTATCAGATGCTACATTCAGTCCTGGTCTGGCCGTGCTGTTCACTGGTAGCTCCCTGTCCCGCAGAGTCAGCTAATGGATCCGCTACAGCTGCTGGACTGGGGGGACGTAACACACAGCGCTATTAGCTACTACAACAAGTCCCTCCCTAGCTGCCTGTTTTTACATGAAATATACATAACAGTAAATATGCCGAAGCAAATAGCACTCTGTTTTTTGTTTCATGTGGACTTTAAATATATTATTATTATTATTATTAAACTTAGTCTTATACTCAAATCCAAAATTACAGTTTTTATGCAGCATATGCAAATTTTCTTGTGACTCAGCGTGACAAACACCGTTTACTGTACTGTTCTCTCCATCCTTCCTTTTGTTACTGTGTCTTTTTATAAGCATGTTTTACTGTTGAAATGATTCATGTTGATTTGCTCCGAAACAGCACCTTTAGAAATGCTGTATATAAATAAAGAGGACCATTGTTGTAATTATTTGCACAACATAAGTTTAAAGAGTTGAAACTATTAATTTAAAGTATAAGCTATGATTAGACATTTCCGTTGTGCTACCACTGGTTGCCACTACCTTTAGTGATTTTAGAATAGCTGAGAGGGATTCATGCTGGTTCAAGTTGTGCCTGACTGAACAAGGCCTGTTGGCTTGTTGCTGCAATTTGAAAATCGAGGAGAGATCTTTCATGTGATCCGTGCAGTCATCTCTGTAATAACATTTTTGGCTATATCTCCTCTGTGCTTTAGGCTCACTCCCTTCCACCTCTTCCCATAAGAGCCAGGCCTACGCCCATGGATGAGGAGAGGGGTGCCCCCGCCATCTCCCCAGAGCCACCTGATGATGGGGACCCCAGTCCACCAGATCCACAACCCAGTTCGCACGCAACCTCAACCACAGAGAAAACAAACAGCTGCCCAAACCCAAAGCCATCCTCTAATGCAGGTAAAGAAGAGGTTCCAGTAGAAAAACAAGGCAAACCTACACAAACAGCTCGCTTAACTCTGATGGGTAGCTGGTGGTATTGCTGTGTGTATTGTTTATTTGTTGGAGAAAGAACAAGAGAGTCAACCACACAAACAGCTATGTGATGGGTCTGAACGTGCCTTGAATAGGCTAATGTTTTGGGGGGGGTTTGTTTGTTTTTTTTAAGGATATTTTTGGGGCTTTTTATGCGTATTTGATAGGACAGGTGAAGACAGGAAAGGGGAGTAAAAAGAAAGAAGGGAGGGGGGGTTCTGCAGTAAGGACTCAGTCTACATGGGTTGTGTGCTCTACCAGGTGAGCTACCCTGAGCCCTGACAAGCTAATGTTTATGACCACTAGCAGCAAGTTCAGTTAAACCTCCTTTGTTGTTTTTTGGAGTGTGTCTGCGTTCTATGAGTGTGGATGCCTAAAAAAAGTAGGTGTAAAGAGATTATGCCATTTATTATGAAACAAAGGACCTAGTGGATTCAGAGAGAAGACCTCTCCATGCTTTTTCATTTATGTGAACATCATTGTGGTCAGAGGTGTGTCCTTCCTCTACAGGCTATAGGAGACCTTCTTACCTCCAAAACAAAAATAGACCATTTTATTCACCTTTGTGACAGTGGTAATTTTCCAAGTGGAATAGTCTAGAGTCACTGTTGTGATTAAAACTTTAAGAATGATAATCCTGCGGTTTTGGTGGATGTCATAGTGATTAATCAAAACAGTTGCATACTGAGGTGATCGGAGATCTTTCTTTGTGGGGCCGCCTTGGATGATCTAAGGGGTCAGGACCAATTTGGCGCCATGGACCGCTTAAAGGCCGCAATGGGCCTCCTGGGAATTTAGGAATGAACCCATGACCCTTCCCCTTTGTGTGATTGGTCACGGTGAGGGGTGACTGACACTGGGGTGGAAACAAGGAGCTAGAACCAACTCAGGGCAGCATTGTGCCTAAATGACTCATCCAGGATCAGCCAAAATGATTCAGGCTTCCTCAAGCTTCAGTGTAAAAACAACAGCACTGACTGTAGATCAGATAGCAGGTCCTATGGGGTAATTGGGGTAGGTGTGGTAAATGGTTAGAGAAGTGTGCAGAGATTTAAGTGGCTTATTGCTATGGGAACCTGCCACAAAAACCTTTAATTTTCGAAGGACTTTTATTTGCTTTTTGTTTTGTGTCAAGGCAAAGGCAAGTCTCAAGGTGCAAAAAGATAGAATCCACACACGCACTTCTCTGTTCTGTGTTACGTTGCGGTTTACCACGAGTGTAAGTACAGCATCATATTTAATGATTATACTTCTGCAAAGAGTTTTAGAGTTATTAAACAGTAGGTTTGTGCCTGAACATGTTCTCGTAGCTGTGCTGACTTTACCTGTGCTTGCTCCTCTGAAAGCCAACACAAAGTATAACTGTGGCTTCTCCCACTAAAGTTAGACTGCTTGTCTGGCTGACTGGTCCAGTGTGTGTGTTTGTGTGTGTGTGTGTGTGTGTGTGTGTAGGCTGACGGTATGTAGGTGAGCCAGAGTGGGGAGGAGAAGATTGGTCAGACTACCAGTGTGGGCAACAAGGCCCTGCTTTCAGCGCTCTGCTTCACCCCACACCCATCCCTCTGCCTGCAGAGTGCAGGGCTTTGGGACAACGCAACAGGCACATATATATCAAACTGAAACTTGAATCAAAAGTTTGCCCATGGATGCATTATTAGAAATGGATAATGGGTTCCAAGATGACACTCTTCATTCCAATCAAAGTTGCTGCAGTTGCTGGGAGGAGTAAACTTAATGTTTTTTACACTGATCAAAGAAATATGTCGTTTTTTCTACAACTTCTGCATAAATGTCATCTTCGCCTGTTACCGTTTTTATATTGCTATTTTTTTATGAATGTAGCTAGGTTGGTAGCTAGCTACGTAAGAAGATGACATGAACATTCACGACCCCAATTGGGCAACTTTCTCCAATTGGCAGAACCAGACCTATGTGAACAAATCTGAAATGTTGGTGCCATTAGTTCCCAACAGCTTGCACAGGACTACTGAGAAGAAATGGCTTTGTATGCAGTTCAAGTGTCTAGTTAAAAGTATCACATACAGTGTCTTTTATAATGGCTGTCTTTTATATGGGGAAAATGCTCTCTGGCCCGTGGTAGATTTATGTTGCAGTACCATGTTTGGCCACCAGTTTATACAGTATGAACATCTGACAATCAAATGCAATTTATTGCAATAGCTCTGCAGCAAATATGGCTCTATCTTTATTCAGGACCGTGGTCTTTTAGTTTGAGAACATGACTTATTGATTTCACGACTTTGACTCTGCCCTCGCACTCAAACAGCCCGTGCTTGCGCTCCAATTTGCTGTGCTTGTGCTCAAGTTGTGTGTTTGCACTCAGATGTATTCATATTAAGGTGATATCTTCAGCCCGCTCTCCATGCCCAGGGCTAGCCCCCCTGAGCATAACACAAATCCTGTATCCAGCCTCCAGCTAGCAGCAGCGGCCCCATCCGGGGATCTGTGTCGCCCATCCTTCATCCCCTGGTACACCGCTGGAGAACCAGAAGGAGGGAGATCAGCACAAGATCAGCGTACGCATCACGCATAATTCTCCCTTATGCGTGTGGACACGGGAGGACAGACCCGCTGGAGCTCGAGCTACTCTAAGAAGTAAAGCAAATGCGCCCTCAACGATGCTGGCTTCCTATTGGCTGGGGGATTTTGACAGGGTCATTGCACAAAAAAATCCAAGAGCAAAGCAGAAATCTGAGAACAGAAAATCTGTACAAGCAACAAAATATCTGAGTGCAGCCAAACAATTCGAGCACAAGCTGAGAGCGAGCAGGGGCTTTTTGAGTTTTCAGGGGAAGCATTACAAAATCTGAACGTGAAGTCATGTTCTCAAACTAAAAAGACCACACTCCTGAATAAAGATAGGAAGAAAAACCCACATGCATCTTTCTGTTTAGTTCTGTTGACACTATGTCAAAGGGGTGTTGTGGTTCATTTGTGTGGTTAGTTTTTGAGGCCATAGTTTAATTATAGCAGTGACCTTGCAGCATCAGCATGGGAGCCAGCCAGTCCCAATGCACTAGGCGATAGTTTTAGCCCTCTTGTCACCTCGCACTTGGATAGCAGTCTTTTCTGCTGTAAGTGAATCAAGCTCTGCTCAGTCATTACAAGGCCATTGAATAGTGATGTGTGTGTGCTGACAGATGTGTGCTTCTTGCTGTTGTGAGTGTTGCTCTCATTCAGGCATGAAGATGCAGTGAGGCTGTCTGTTTATATAGGAGCCTCTTACCACCACATGCTAGATTCCCGCATTCTCTTTCACCACTGGCATCTCTCTCACTCTATTTTTTCTCTTGCTCTTTTTTTACCCACCTCTGCTTTTGTTTCTTTTCATCCCCTCTCTGTATATTAGTGTTGAACACAAATTATATATTTTTTATATTGAAACTGCAATTTGAAAGAAGAGTGGATTGTGTCCTTTTGCTGTTAAAAAAGATCAACAAAGTGTTTAGTCTTTTTTTAGATAAACAATTTAATCTCAGCTTAGCTTGCAGTTTCCTTGTTAGTAATCAAGTATAAATGGCCAAAAGCTGGCAGTAAGTGAACAGTTGTTAGAATCTCTCTGACTTAGATGCATCATATTGTTTTAAACTTTTAATCTCAAGAGCTATGAATCGGGCCCTCCACGATTTGGGGCTGTGATGCACTTCATCCTTTCAGTCTGTCAAGGTAAAGTTCTCAAGCAGCTAAAGTGCTAAGCTGTCAACAGTATGATTAGGGCCATCAGTCAAATATCAAACATTTAGTTAACTACCTTGTCAGATATTAAGTTTTTATCAGTAAATATTAGTGGTCAACTGTTATGGGTTTGTCTTGACGTGACTTGTATTTAAGGGAGAGCAGGGTACAGAATATCAGAAGCGTCATTCAACTGCATTATAACAAAATTTAGGCAAAGGTTTACTGCAGGATGCATGACAGTTATAGTACAGGGCTCAAAATTAACTTTTTCACCACCTTCCAAAATCTGTCAAAGGGGAGTGCTAACATCGTATCACAGCAGCCACACAAGGCTGCCTGCAGATGTGTCCGCAGACATTTGTTGTGCATCAGCTTTGTGAGTGCAGGCATTGAGCCTATCTCAAAATACCGGATAATATCTTTCTATAGTACATATACATTTATTGATTGAAAACAAGACAATGAACGTGTGATAATGCTTGGTACAATTGCATCTTGTTGAATACAATGTGGACTGGTACAGGTTTGGAGTTTACTTTGTGGAATATAATCACTACTCAATTCGTAACCACGATTGACCAAAACATATTGGTCTGAAAAAAGTCAGCTTTCAGCACTGCTGTCACTACATTAGGCTGTTATCACAGGTTTTGATGTCTAGTGTCTCTTTGTTTATCCTGCTGCTCTCTTATTTCTCGGTCTACATCCCAGTCTAAAAAATGTTTATTTGATCTTTCTCTGTCTTTGCTCCAGTGTGTAGATTTGCCTACTTGTTCCTTTTTAGTCTGTGAGGTTTGTTGAGGCTTGTGTCTAATTTGGTTTCTCACAGAGATTGAAATAAACTAGGAGCAATTTGAGGCATTTTTACAGCATATTTGAACTACAAAAATGAGCATGCTTTTTTTTCCCTTCACCACCTCTTCACCAAACATTTGAGAAACTGTTGCTGCTGCTGCTCCGGTGGCTCTCTCCCCCCCTCTCTTTCCCTCTCCCTCATCAACTCCTGACTTGAGTCTCCAAATCCTCATAACCAATGTCATATACTGTTGACAGGTAGTGTCAGCATGATGTGATTCTGAGCCTGTCTGTTTGGTTCAGACACTTTAGCCAGGGGCCTGTTGCTGTTCAGTTACTGTTACAGTGACAGATTTGCAGTTGTTGTCTGCAGCCTAAGGATTGTTTTTTAGGAGGATATTGATACTTTATAATAACACAAATCAGACAAC